TCATAGCGACTCTCGAAGGACACGAATCCTGCACATCAGTGATATCATAAAGCTTGGTGACTGCGGGAAGCTGTCAATCAAACTGATTATCAACAGGCACACCGTGGCGTAGTAGCAACCTAGTCAACATGCTCGGATGACATATAGCCATGTTAGCATTAATAATCCAACCATCCTCGCCCTAGCCATGTTAGTAATAATAATCTTGCCCATATTCAACGGCATCTGGTTCATTATAGCATATATTAAACATACCCGGAGGCACAAACAGTGGAATCATTGCTGCTTGGTAAAATTTTCTTATTGATAAACCGTAACAACACTTTGGCGGGCTGCAAATTGGCTCTAGTCATGGTGAAATGATGATCATCATTATCCCTATTCCAAGTAGCCAAAGAATTAGGTCCGCGGAGAAGATCATGGATGGCTTGGTAAGAATGCCTCTTCATCAACGCCTCGAACTGAGTATGAGACTCATTCTTGAACCCCAACTCATCATTAATTATCTCAACAAAAAACTTGACTCTCTTTCCACGAATTTTGACAGTGTACTGCACGTCATACTGAAATTCGGGTACCCAATTGGCGTAGAACTCATTCAAAATACCAAAATTAGCTCATCCGATGGAATCTTAAAGGCCATCCAATTTCATTGCGGTGATGTTGGCATATAGCACTGGATACTTCTTATTAAACTTCCGTCAATCAATCCCAACATCAGTAGTAGGCTCTCCAGATGGGACAAAATCATGAAATCACTTGCGTGATTAGGGAAGCATTGATAAAACTCCATATGTGGGCTATAACATATCATTACCTGAGTATGGCACATCAGGGTCTGAGCCGTCTGAGGAGTCCATAGCTGTGGGTGCCATCATAGCAGGCTGGCGGCTACTAGAAGTGCCTACATGAGGACCAATATTCATACGTTTGCTAGCTCGGCGAGGCATTGTTCCTGCACAAGACAAACAACTCAGTTGTGACACAATAAAAGCAGAAGCAAGGTCAAAATAGGGGGAGAGCCACTCCACATTTATGTCACTAGCATGCTCACAGGCAAGAACCAGGGTGATCAGACTACCCCATATTCAGCAAAACAAAACATTCACAACTCACCAATAGCCATATAGAGGCCCAACAACCACTATAATTATAGCAACGTGTTTAGTCTGTGACCTCCCACCCTACACTTGAAATCCCTAAACACTCTATGAACAAAATATGCATCACCTCAAGCAGCATCAATAGTGCATCATTCTTCCGTTCAAGCAATTAGTTAAACACCTATCATACTCAATTTCTTGATGAAAGAGTAGAGAACAAAACGCACTCACGCCACTTATTTTCTAAGTACAATAAAATATCATCTAGGCATTACATGCTCAGGCCAGCGATCGATTAGCACTAGCGATCAGTTCGACACACATTGCATTTATAGACTATGACCAATCACCCTTTGCCCAGAATTTCATAATTTACATCACATTCTAGCCAACACAACCCAACATGACCAAAATCCCCATCGTTCCCATTCAAGCAATTAATCGAACACCTAGCATGCAACAGAAGAGAGGCACAACTACACACATTATCAAAGAACAATCTTGCCCAAAATCAACCAATCCAAGAGCAATCACACCCCAAACAACATCCATACCAATAATGCACTAGGGCAAATCATTACCCAACAAGAGAGTGGGTAACCAACTACAAATTGCGAAGTTCATCTTCTTCCTCTTCTTTTTGCTTTGTTTTATTTTGTTTATTTTGTTTTCAAATTAAAATCTTCTAACAAGGACTACACAAAAATAACCCACAAGAAAGAGAAGAACTTACCTGGTTGCAAGAAGAGAGACAGAGGAGGGAGTTGAGGGAGACATGTGGAAAGCGAGAGAGAGGGAGATTTGGAGGGGGGGGAGGGAGAAAGGGTTTTGTTTTCCTTTCTTTTGGGAGGTTTGGAGAGAGAGAGGGAGGGATCTTGGTGTGTTTGGGGTCGGGCAGGTGTGAGTGTTTTAGGAGATGGGGTGGAATTGTTTTTTTTATTTCTCTTTTTTTTTTTAAAAAAAAACACACCTGATGCATCGCATAGTGCGACGCTCAGTACGACGCTCTAGTATATTTTGCCGTCTGCCAATTCTCTAATGTTGGAAATCCTCTAATGAAAACATGTGTTTCTGCGATGCATGGCGCATCGCATAGTGTGATGCACTAGTTCATTTCGGGGTTTTCCAATTCTCTGATTTATTCCTAAACTCTAAAAATTAATTGCACTGATGCGACGCCTCGTATGTAGCACTGAGCGACGCACAATATGCAATTACTTTGCATAGTTTTAATTTTCCTGCTTCTCGACTACTCCCTCACGCTCGTGCTTTATTCTGCATCAAAGTCATTCTGATAGAACCTAAAATACAATTAGTCCTAATCTATAATCAATTAAACTATTCTAAAAACAAGAAAAAAAAATATGTTAGAAGTAGTTCTGAGTTATAGTCGTCAGCTTGACTCCGTCACTTAGGCTCATTTGATCACGATGCTAGAAGATTACTTTTCAAATCCTCCAACAAGGAATAGCTTCAACATGTGCCCATTCACTTTAAAGCTCTCATTCCCTTCCTCATCTTGGATCTCAATGACGCCATGCAGTGACATATGTTTTACCACGTACAAACCTGTCCATCTTGACTTGAATTTTTCGAGGAACAACCTAAGTCTACTATTGTATAGTAAGAATTTTCATGAAACTCTTTTGGCTTAATCAGGCGATCATGCCACCTCTTTGTCTTCTCCTTAAAGATTCGTGCATTTTCATAAGCATCCAATCTAAATTCCTCCAGTTCATTCATCTACAAAAACCTATGTTCGCCTGCAAGACTGAGATCAAGATTAAGCATCTTAATTTTCCAATAAGCTTTATGTTCTATTTCAACAGGTAGGTGACACAATTTTTCATACACTAATTTTAATGGTGAAGTCCCTATGGTTATTTTGACAATTTTATATGCCCATAGAGCTTAATACAACTTTATAGACCAATCCTTACGAGAAGCACTAATCATCTTTTCATGAATTTATTTAAGTTCACGGTTAGCCACTTCAACTTACCCACTAGTTTGGGCATGGTACGGGGTACCTGTTTTGTGTGTGACCCCATACTTAGACAATAATGTAGCAAACTACTTATTCACAAAGTGCGACCCATTATCACCGATAATCACTTCAGGTGTCCCAAAGCGGGTAAAGATGTTTTTTCGTAAGAACTCACACAGCACTCGAGCATCATTGGTACTAGTAGGGATTGCTTCAACCCATTTAGAGACGTAGTCAATGGTTACTAGAATATACTCATAAGAATGAGATGATGGGTACATGCCCATGAAGTTAATGCCCTAAACGTAAATAATTTCACACACCATAATGGAGTTTAGTGGCATCTCATCCCTCTTGCTAATGTTACCTGCCCTTTGACACTTGTCACATGCAGCAACATACGCCTGTGCGTCTTTGTACAAAGTAGGCCAATAGAAATCGGCTTCCATGAACTTTGTTACAGTGCGATTTCCACCATAGTGTCATCCAACTGCTCCATCATGGCAATGAGAAAGAATGCTTTCTATCTCTCCTCCAGGCACACACCTTCGAATCACACCATATGAACACAGTTTAAACAAGAAAGGGTCATTCCAAAAATAACTTCTTACCTTACCTTGAAGCTTCTTTCTTTGATCATGAGAGAGGTCGCGAGGCAACCATACACTAGCCAAAATGTTGGATACGTTAGTGTACCAAGGTGTCCTTTCGAAGACCGCAATAATGGAGAAATTTTGCTCATCAGGGGACTCTTCCCTTATTTCAACTATTTCAACCGGAGGTCTCTCAAGTTGAGATAGATGATCTGGGACATGATATTTTGTGCCCTTCCTATCTTTGATCTCCAAGTCAAACTCTTGGAGCAACAACACCCACCACATCAGACGCGGCTTGGACTCCATTTTACTCAGCAGGTATTTGGAACGCTGAGTGACCAGTGTGCACAATTACTTTACTCCCCACTAGATATGATCTAAACTTGTCAAAAGGAAAGACCACAACAAAAAACTATTTCTTAGTAGTGGCATATTTGACTTGAGCATCATTCAATGTCCTGCTTGCATAGTAAATGGGCCTAAACATCTTATCTTTTCTTTGCCCCAGAACCGTTCCCACAGCTATATCACTAGCATCACACATTATCTTAAATGGCTGGCTCCAATCAAGTGTAACCATAAAAGGAGCACTTACAAGCTTTTACTTTATGAATTCGAATGCTCTTAAGCACTCCAAATTGAAAACAAACTTGACATCTTTCGCTAGCAATGCAGTCAACGACTTAGTAATGCTGGAAAAGTTTTTGATGAACCTTCTATAGAACCCATCGTATCCTAAGAAACTCCTTATGCTCTTCATAGAAATCGGTGGAGGGAGCCTAGCAATTACATCGACCTTAGCTCTATCAACTTCAATTCCATGTGCAGTTACTTTGTGGCCAAGGAAAATTTCCTCTTTCACTATTAAGTGACACTTCTCACAATTAAGAACCAAGTGAGTGGCTTCACAACGTTCAAGCACGAGCTCCAAATTCTTCAAGTATTACTCAAAGTCATCACTAAACAGGGTGAAATCATCCATGAATACTTCTAGACACTTCCCGTTGAAATCGGAGAATATAGACATCATGCACCTCTAAAACATGGCAGGTGCATTACACAATACCAACGACATTCTCCTGTAAGCAAAAATACCCCACGAGCAAGTGAATGTGGTCTTCTCAAGATCGTCTAGGGAAATGGGTATCTGATTGTAGCCAGAGTACCCATCCAAGAAGCAATAGAATCCATGTGCAGCCACTTTCTTGAGTATTTGATCAACAAAGGGGAGTGGGAAGTGGTCCTTCCTTGTTGTATCATTCAGCCTTCTATAATCAATGCACATTCTCCACCCAGTGAGTATTCTTGTGGGGATTAATGGTCATCCAGTTGTAGGGACACTGGTATTGATTTGATCACTCCAAGCTCACCTTCCAATTTGCTAAATACAAAACGAGGCATTAGATTTATAGACGCACCATAATCACAGAAGGCCTTGTCGAATTTCTCGCTCCCTAACAAGCATAGTATAGTGAAGCTTCTTGAGTCCCCACAGTTTTGGTGAATTTTGTTTTGGAATATGGCACTGCAGTGGGCATTCAGCTTTACCACTATTTTCTCCTCTAATATTCTCTTGCTAGACAAGATTTCCTTCAACAACTTTGCATAAGCAGACATCTGAGTGAGTACCTCTATGAAGGGAATTTTCACATAAAGTTTCTTGAGCATCTCCAAGAATCGCCCAAAATATTTGCCATGTTTTTCCCGCTTCATCTTTTGAGGGACTGGTAGAGCTGGCATATGTCTACTTTCTTCAATATCCTTTTGTACTACACTACTCTGGCCTTTCTGCTCTTCACTTTTTTTCTCTTCCACTGTCTCGACGTGTTTGTTCACTACCTCGGGTCTTGCTTTCGCCAGTGGGTCAGCCAATGTTTTGCCACTTCTCAGAGATACAACTTTGATTGTTTCCTTTGCATTCTTTTTAGTGTTAGAGGGTAAAGTCCCAGGAGCCCTCTCAGATAACAAATTTGCAATCTGTCCCAATTTTCTTTCTAAATTCCAGATGGCCATGCCTTGCTCTCAGATGGTTGTGCCCTGAGTTTCAATTTTTTCATCTGATTTATTGATGAATGCCTTCATGAGATCTTCCATACTAGACTGATTTGACTGTTGTGGCTGGTATTGCTGCCTCTGCTGGTTCTGAAAACTGGTGGTCCTTGACCATGGGGTCTGGGATTATTTTGCTGCCATGAATTCTAGCTCCCAGTAGGTGAACTCCATGAAAAACCTGGACGTCTTTGAACCATAGCATTATAGTTGTTCCCACATTGGTAGTTTCCTCTATTAAAGTTTCCCACTATGTTGACTTCCTTAGTTGATGCTTGACACTCATGTGTAGGGTGCCCCAATCCACAAAAGTCACATGTTGCTTGCGGCTCACTCTGTATCTTGGCCAATATCAGCTTTCTTATCTCATTGGCCATGGTGTCTAGCTGGGCTTGCATGGATGTGTTAGATTCTATTTGGTGAACCCTAAATGATTTTATTCTATCATTACTCTCAACCGGATACTGATTAGCATCCTCAGATAATTCATCAAGGATTAAGACAACCTCCTCCGGTGTTTTCTTCATTAGTGGACCTCCACATGTAGTATTCAGAGTTCATCGTGAGGACGGTGTTAGTCCATCCCAAAAATCCCCGAGTTGCATCCACAAATCAATTCCATTGTGCTGACACTTTCTGACTATCTCCTTGAATCTCTCCCAAGCTTTGAAAATAGTTTCTGTCTCCGTCTAGTAGAAATTTGGATTTCCCTTCTGAACATCTCTGTTTTTGCAGCTAAGAAGTACTTGTCAAGAAAATTCGTGTTCATATCTTCCCATGTCCTGCTCGAACCTGTAGGTAAGCTACGAAGACATTCCTTCATGTTATCTTTCAATAAAAAGGGGAATGGCCTTAAATAGACTGCATCCTTTGATACTCCATTGTATTGGAAGGTGTTCATGATTTCATCAAAGTCCATCAAGTGAGTATTAGGATCTTCGTTCACCTTTCCTCTAAAAATGTAGTTGTTTTGGATAGTTTGAAGCAAGCCTTACTTCAATTCGAAGTTGTTTGGCTAGCATAGTCACCCAATGATCTTACAGGCCCGGGTGCTACATTCTCGAATTAGTCTTCCACCAAGGGTCAGTTTAGATTGAATCTTCCACCCCCATCATCGTTGACGGTCTCATCAGCAATTCTTTGGGCTGCTTCAGCTGCTATCCATGCATCTTCTTGTTCTGCTGCCCCTCTTGTAGCTAAGTCTACTCCATCATTCTCTTTTTTTTCCATGGTATCTTGAGTAGAAGTTTGACCCAATAAATTTTATGTTAATTCTCTTTCTTTTCTCAGTTGCCGCAGGTGTTTTTCCAACTCTGGTTCGTATGGTATCACTTCCTTTGAAGAGGATTGAGTCATACACCAGAGAAATCAAACCTGTATCCTGCACACAAGTGAGAAACGTGAATACACTAAAGTAAAAATTGGTTCCTGAATTAGTACAAAAAACTATTTTAAACACTATTGATTGTCAATCCCCGACAACAGCGCCAAAATTTGATGAGCGCAAAACATAACACAAAATTATTGCTCGCTAGTCAAAGATAGTATAGATTAATTATTATTTTCACATGGATTGGATTTAAACAGTGTTCGAATAATCTCCAGTTGATTACTATCCAGGAAAATTAACACTTGATTTGATGACTATCACTACGATTAGCTACTAAAAATTAAGCAACTAACAATTAATCACAAAAGACAACAAATGAGCAACGAAGAAATATCAATGATAGGAATAAGAGTATTTGACTAGATAGGTGCAAGATAATTGACTGGGGATCCAATTCTTGAGTTAATTCACTCTATAATACAGTTGATTCTCATGAATTCAGCCGATAATCAGATTACACTTGAAGTTAATGTTCCTCTTTTGATTAAACGTTAATTTCAGTAATTAACCCAATTGAAGCGCGATAAACAATTGCAATAATAAAATGATGGTTATGATCTAAAGGGTAACTTCTCACAAATATTCCCCTATTTTTTAGTTCGATTAACAATTCAAGAAGCTCTTTCGATGACCTAGCAGCAACGGCTGTGCCGCTGCATACTGCCAGTTGGTATAGTAAGGCGACTTTTATAACTGTAGGGTTGACTGTATGACGGCTGGGAAACTGTTCATATATTTTTCCTTATCTGTTTCCTTCAGAACGCTTAGCCAGACATCAAAACATAGCACAACGGGATCAAAGGAACATATCGCATCAGGTTCCTTAATAAAGTTTGACAAATCAGCAAAATCTACAGTATCATAACTTATCAATTTCCCCCTTTTTGATGATGACAAACCCAAAATTGATATTCCCCTTGAGAGCTAGATTCGCACATATTCCTCCTATGGATCAGGCCTAAAACCAAACTTAGCCGATTTTTTCCCCTGCGAATAAAATAGACTCCCCCACCTCAATCTTCCCCCTTTTGACACACAAAAAGAAGTTCAGCAAAATTATGTCACGACCCAAAATTCCACTAGGCTGTATTGGCACATAGCCCAACCCGCTAGGTAAGCCTACGGTATAAGCCACTACTAAGATAAGAAACCAACATAGATAATAAATAAAATGGCCAAAAGAGTCTAATACAACTATCCCAAGGACCGGTACTATAAGTCATGAGCGACTATAAATAAGATTACAACTTCAGTTTGAGTAAGGATACATCATCTGTTTGAAATTTACATAAACAGAAATATGAATCCTAAACTATCGCGAACAATTGGTAACTTGTATCTGGAGTGCTGATGTGTCTTTAATGCTAGGCCCATGAACTCCATAGCTGGCCCTCTCCGAATATCTACACGCAAGGTGCAGAAGTGTAGTATGTGTACAACTGACCCCATGTACTCAATAAGTATGTTGACTAACCACTGTGAAGTAGTGGCGAGGTTCTTAATTCAAAGATACTCACTAATATAACTTTTTTAGTTAGATTTGCAATAAAAATAATACTAGAAATAACATAGAAAAATACAAAAATAAATATGCGAAGCAAAAGATGATTATTAAAAGAAATCACGGTCAGTTTCCCGAGTATCACAACCAACCCTCACCAAACAACATAGTAAACTCATGAAACTTCATAATATGAGGAATTTGTTCAATATATCGAATCAAATGGCACGAAAACACCCTTCATACATTTATCTGATCCTTACCAAATATTTGAATGTATGCCAAATTAATTGGCACTGTAATACCATTCGTACATTTATCTCATCCTCATCAAGCATATGTAAAACAGTACCAACCAAGTAAAAGAAATACCAATAATAATAACAACAAAGTAGAAAGTACACAGATAGGAATAATAAACAAGGCGGAGCATATGGACAACAGTAACAGACAAGGTGGGAGGCGCAGAAGTAATGACAGGAATTAAGGTAGGAGAACATAGATTTCACTAACTAGCACGGTAGAAGGCTTAGATGAAAGCACAACAAACGAGAAAAAGCATAGATGTAAATATAACAAACAAGAAGAAAAGCATGATCTTGACAAGATAAATAGATTGGGGGGGGGGGGATAGAAAAATATAAATTAAGGTAGAAAGCAAAGACGTGACAACAACAACAAGCTACATAAAAAGCATATGTGCAGCTATGACAACTCAGAATAAAGGCATAAATGTATACGCAAGGGAAATATATCACAATATAATGCATGTCTCTCGTCCTAGCCTACACGAAAACATCCTTTGTGCTATGAATCTCATCCTCACATTATAATATAAAAGTAATTGCACGACATCACCCTTCATGCTTTTACTCTCTTCTTCACATGATAGTGTAAAACAATGGCACAACATTATCCTTCATGCGTAATGATGTATATGAAATGGCACAGAATCACCCTCCGTGCTTTTTACTCTTCCTCACATAATAATGTATATGAAACGGCACGGCATCACCCTTCATGCTTTACACTCTTCCTCACATGATAATGTATATGTAATTGCACAGCATCACCCGCCATGCTTTACACTCTTCCTCACATGATAATGTATGTGCAATGGAACGATATCACCCTTCGTGCTTTACACTCTTCCTCACCAAGCACATGTATATCAATGACAAGCAAGGTAGAAAGCATGGATAATATCAAGAAGAGTGGTAAAACAAATACACCACGTGAACATCAATCACAACTCTTGAACTAATAAGCAATTCAACAAACCTCAAGAACCCTATTGTTCAAGTATCTCGACAAAACTCAAACATGCTTTTCGACATAATTATGGAACCCAAGTACCTCATAATTATGATCATAGACATGTATTCATGATTAGGTATAGTGATAGCAGAATTTAGCACATCAACAGTTTCACAAAAATTTTGTCAAATTTAATCAAGTTATAATAAGTTGAATTATGGTTTCTAGCATTGAAATTCATATTCATATTATTATAGAAGTCAAGTAAAACATGGGGCAAGAAATTCACATAGTCCAACAAGACACCAAAAATCGTATAATTTACCCCGAGCATAGATAATCATGGCACATGATATACTCTCTTCACCTTGAATGTTCATCACCCCCACATGTAACAAATCATATCATTTTATTAGGAAAAATTCCTCCAACAAAACTAGGCAAGGCACTTACCTCTTTCTACAACCAATCAATAGTCAATCACAACTTTGCCTTTCGAACAAGCCTCCAAACCAATCGAATCTATACAATTATCAATCAAACAATCCAAAATAAAATTTAAAAACTACCCACGAATGAAAAAGGTTCGATTTTGATCATTTTTGAAAAAGTCAACAAAAGTCAACCCCATGCTTGCTTGGTCGAAATACGATATTTGGACCAAAACCCGATTATCATTCACCCTAGCCTTGTTATGTGATTTATTTCAACATCCAGCCTCAATTTGAAGTCTAAATGTCAATTTTACAAAATTCTTAAATTCTATTTCTACTATGAAATTCAAAGATTTGATGTTAAAAATTCATAAAAAGTAAT